ACACAGACAACCCCGTAACAATATGCGTTTTGTACTGCTGTTACACAACACAAAACGCATAAAAAAGTACCAACACTTGAAATGCATGTCAAAAGAACTGTTGAGCTGGTAAATCCTTCAGGAGAAGAAAAGTCAAAACTTACAACAAGCTAAATTGATCAAAGCATCTGAAGAAGTTGCTAGCTGCACAGCTGAAAAGCGAACTGTCAGTTAAAGCTGATCCAAGCATATCAACCCACGGTAGCGTGTAAGTACGCGGATTCATATATGAAAATGTTGATTACATATCTTTCGAATATGCGGAAAATAAGTTTCGCGCGACATCGGCTGTCAGTTGATTCGGGCAACAGAGCAGCGGAAAAACGAAATTTACTAGCCAGTAATGACCGAAGATCATATGCAACCTGCAATGAAACACTGCAGACTAAAAAGACATATTTTGACAAAGACCTGCCTGGGAGATTAGTAAGGACACTTTGCACTGTTCTCGCCATAAAGTAGTGTTTCTGTAGTATAACAGATCTGGAGTTGGGAGAAGGAATGCAAGGTGTTTGAAGCGTTTATAAAACAAACAGCAGAAAACCCAGCCAAGGATGCAATCGCCAGAAATGTGAAAGGAAAAAAAGGAGTTTGGCTGAAAAAGTCAGTTTAAAAAAACATTTCATTTTGCACGATTGTCCTTGCTTTTCTTTCGTCAATTTGCTCATTATGCATCGGATTTTAGAGGAATTAAGGAAAAGACAAAGGAAACTGCTATTCTAACATATTACTAAAACATACCTTTCGGAGTATGTCTCACCGTCACCGTGTAATTCGAACTGTCGACACAGCGTATGATAATCATACATCGTGTAGCCATTTAATGTATAAAACATCTGCAACAGAACGCTTCGTAAAACCTTTATTTTATATGGGAACGGATGTACTCTAAAATGGCGAGTGATGGGATTGAACAGCAACCACACGCTTGCAAAACTGCTACTGGCTTCTTTTTTGAAGATTGGGCAATTATTAAAATTCGGCTTGGCTCGCCTCGGCCGGGTCCGCTACACGATTTGCAAACTTGCCCCACATATGTAAGTGCGGGGCAAATGCAAGTGCGCTGACCAGGTTTTCATTCCACATACACCTCAGAAATTATGTCGAAGTAGTTAGATTAATCCCTTCTCAAACGTCTTGGAAAAAGTCATACTAAGCTAATTCTACGCACATTTTTTGCTTTTTATGCGTTTTTTGCAGCTAAACAATGCAGTCTGTGTGTCCGTGTGTGCGTCTGTACCGATTTTTCATCTCAAGACCTACAAAAACTACAGGGCTGAAACTTTGGGAATTTAATCTACATGCACGTGCGGGCCCCAATCCCCAAAATGGGCTCCCTTACTCGCGTGGTACCCACCAACATAAGAGCCCCCAAAGTTTTTTATGGGGTAAGCTGCTAACTTGGGAACCAGAAATGCTGGAAGGCTGAAATTTTAAAGGGATGTTCCCCGTCCAAGTAAATATTACTGAGCTCAAACCCAGTCCCCGAGCATGTGTGGTACCCATGTACGGGCCCGCTAAAATTCTCGGGTAAGTTACTAACTCGAGAATTTGAAAAGCTAGAAGACCATAATTCTAAGAGGACATTCTCCGTCCACCTAGGTCTCATCGAGCTCATACCCAGTCACCGGGTATGCGTGGTACCCACGTACGGGCCCGCCAAAGTTTTTTTCGAGTAAGTTAACTCGGGAACCTGAGAAGCTAGAGAGTTGGAATTTTAAGGGGATGTTCCCCATCCAAGTGGATATTAATGAGCTCAAGCCCAGCCCCCGAATGTTCGTGGTATCCACGTACGGTCCAGTGAAAGTTTCTCTCGGGCAAGTTGATAACTCGGAAC